ATCAGCATCAGAAATATTTAATCATCAGTCCTGTTTATCAGGTTCCTGCTAATTAACACTGACATCTGCTTAATAAGTTATATATCCAGGATCCCTGTATTCCTATGTTTAGTCCTTTATACAGATTATTACCAAGCCTTGAAGTAAGCTGACACCTCCCGATCTTTCCCCTTCGTATGTTAAGACATCTACCGCCTGTCACCCCAACAGATGCTACCCTCACTACCTCCCTGCATTCTCTGCCAAGGTTTCACGGCTTCGAATGGTTGTTTCGAGACCGTAATGGTAGGCGATATGAAGCTTCTTGGTTCCGTAATCCATCGCTATTCGCACAGCATAGTTTGCCAGCATCGACACAAATTAACCCACGGATGAATTCCTAACCATTTTGCTGCCTTAGAATCTGGATGAAATCGATTCCTAGATTTTTTTTTAATACCTATTTACCAATGTTGTGTTCATACGCTTTGTCCTTTATAGCTACGCTGTGTAAGGAAACATAACGCTTATGTTCATATGACATATTTCGCTACATAATGCTTGCAACTCGAAGAATAATAGATATGAGGTTGCAAATTATCTTTTACCTCATGCCATTACTTTATGAGGGTGCACTGAGGGTAGATGTTTCATCATATATGATTGAAATTTCTCATGCTGATGAAGTGAAAATATTCTGTTGCCAAAATATTTTTTATATAATATCAGCATCAGAAATATTTAATCATCAGTCCTGTTTTATCAGGTTCCTGCTAATTAACACTGACATCTGCTTAATAAGTTATTATATCCAGGATCCCTGTATTCCTATGTTTAGTCCTTTATACAGATTATATTTTCGTTACTGTTATTATTATTGCTATTATTATTATTAGTTTTTTATAATAGTTGTACAAATAATGACTATTATAAGGAAAATCATTTTTGGTTTTATTGTTATTACTATTATTGTTATTGTTGTTGTTGTTATTATTTTCATAATCATTATTATAGTATATATTGTTATTGTTATTATCATTAGCTAATTATCATTATTATTACTGCTACTATTATTGTTATCGTTTCTCTTGTTATTATTATTGTTATTATTATTTATTATTATTATTATTATTATTATTATCATTATCATAATCATTTTGATTATAATAAATATTAATACTTTAGTGTTAATTGTCCTGCTCTTATATGCCCCAAAAAAAAATGCGGCAGAACCTTTTATATTTACAATTATTTTATTTCTTTTTTTTCTTCTTTTTTTCTTTTTTTTTGATAAAATTATGATTTATGTCTTCGAACTAACATTCATAATGCCACAGCAAATTTTATAATGTTTTTTTTTTCTGAAACACATACAGGAAATCTTGGGATGAGATTGTATATAACTAGCTATACTCTGGCCAACCCCGGAAAAAAATATCAACTGGCAACTCAACCCGGACTCTGGAGCACTCCGATTCAGCATTTTTTTTTTCTGAGAAAATATATTAAAGTTGTTTTGGAGACAGTACATTTCATCCAAAAACAATCAAAAATATAAAATAAAGTTTTAAGAGCTATATGTGAAAATGACTGTGTCACCGTAAACATAAGTTTTATGTGAACTGATGACAATAAAAAAGAAACTTAGCAAATCGAACACGTCAGAGTCCAGCTTGAGTTGCCAGTTGTCCCTTTCCAGAGACTGGAGACTGGACCGTAGTATATAATTTATTTAATGAATGCAACGTGACATAACTAATAGAAATAACAATGAATACACATACTGGTAAGTTTCCAAATAAAAAGCTATGTAAATATATAAGCTTGTAATGATAATTTTATGATTCTTTTGTATGGATGCCTGTATATGTACGGATCCATATGTACATATACTAAATATGTGTGTGTGTGTGAGTGAGTGAACGAGTGTATGACTGAGTGAGTGTGTGTGTGTGTGTGTGTGAGAGAGAGTGAGAGAGAGAGAGAGAGAAAGAAAGAAAGAGAGTGAGAGAGAGAGAGAAAGCACATGTGACTGTAAGTGTGTGTATCTCACTGTCCGCGTGTGTGTTTGACAGAACTCATTTTCACACGAGCTTTACCATACCCAGACACCCTACGGCCGTTCATCCAGTGTCCTGGCGACTTCTCCGTGGACTTAGCTCCCCACCAGAGTTCCTCCTACGTCAGGCTCCCGCAACCGAAAGCTAACGTCGACTGGTTCAGGTACGGACTCGGTCGCTGCCTTTAGTACATTAACCGAAAAGATACCAGTGTATATAGTTTGTAGCCTGACGTACATGTCGGTATTGATTAACCTTACTCACCCAGATTATTATCTTTATTTATTATTTATGTATTTATCTACTTGTTATTCAGGTGTCTAGTTATTTATTTTGTTCTTCATTTATTGATTTTTTTTTTTCGAGTAAATTTAATCTAGGCTCAGTCATGCCATACCTTTAAATAGCCTCTGAGATTATACGCCATCCATGTAAACAGCCTTATGTGGATATAGTTCAGT